CTTGTTTGTTCTGGATAAACCATTCAGTTCAATGTCATCTTTGCCAAAATTGCAGTCACTGGTTAACTGGAGACTTTTTTAGAAAACCATCAACCAATCAATGATGACAAATCAGCAGTTTAACGTTCACAGGTTTAGACGGGGTGTTTGATCACCTTATACCAAGGTACACAACAGAAACACAACATAGAACAATTTTTAAACCAGCAGGAAAAGATTGTTCTTACTGCTGTTAAGGGACAAGATTTTGATTTGACTCAACAACTGGAAATCCAGCCAGCTGCTTAATTAGAGCTCTTCACACACAGAGATTCAAAGTGGCTGGCTGTATCTGGCCTTCAGTGAATCTATTGCTCTAGAGAGTATAAATGAGCATGTAAATTACATTCTCCGCTTCAACTGGACAGTGGTTTTTGTGGCATTTCTGCTGTGGTTTGTTTTCACACGTCATTCTTCTTTTTTGTCCTTGTAACTCGATAGACACTTTGTAGAAGTGGGAAGCTGGAGGCCGTGAAGCTTTTCCTCCATTTTGTTTAAAATTCCTTCCCGTAGCGGAGTGGAGCAGTGAACACGTTTGTGCTTCGGTTTCTGCTGGAATCAAGATGATTGTGATTGAATTAAATGTGCTAGCAGGAGGAGTGCTAGCTGGTCAGTGGGAATAGCTGATCTGACATCAAATCCATGCACAGTAATTACATATAGCTACCTAAGAGCCATCTTTTTCTTTTTTAAGTTGCACATAGCTATAGAAATTTAAAAAGCAATAAGTCCAAGTCTGGCCTTTATATCTCTACAATTTTGTGACACATTTTGAGCTTTAGGGAAAGTTCTTCCTGTCAGCATGGAGCCTGGTAATTTGTCGCCTGCAGTTAGAAGTCAGTCAAACTGCTGCTGAGGTCTGAAATCATCAAAAAGGATGTACGAAATAAGACTATAGCGCACATGTACACACACTCACACACACACACATCTGGCTATTCTGTTCTGTCAGAAAACCCAAACATCCAGCCATGCGTGGAAACAGCCATGCCCTGCCCAACACTCGTCCTTAGAGAGTACAGTCATTATGGAACTGAACGGCATGGCCTGCACCCCGACACACACACGCACACACAAACGCACCCATCCACTGGCTTAGACATACTTACGCCGACATACTGCTTATGTCAGTGATGTGCTCTGTTTGCCTCTAAGAAGTTCAATGTTCACTTCATTTTGTCAGACAAACACAAAAAACTCTCTCTCTCCCCTCTCTCACACATACACACACAGAAGATGTGAAAATCCTACAACTTGGACTTCTGCTATTTATTCAGGACAAATACCAGGGCCCTGTACTGCACTACGACTGGGTCAAGTCATGTCTTGTCAGACTGTGTATCTTCTTTCCACTGAGCCAGATGCTTACAGGTACCACCAGGGTCTGTGCTGGGCCCCATGTTCAACACATTCACCCTGCAGTTAGGCTCGTCTGACATAAAGAGAACAGGTTCATCTTTCACATCAAACAACCACGCAACCATACCCTCAGTTCAAACACAGTTCACAGTGTTTGGTTAAATGGTTATGGATGGCTGTTGGAAACAAGAAAAACAAGACAGTGGCTAGAAATTACATTTTGAAATTAACCTACCAACTCATCTGTCCAACTTATTTCTCTTACTTTCCTGTATTTAGACATTCTAGCCCATTATTGTACATCTGTATTAGCAAAATATCAAACATCAATATTCACTGGGCCAAAAAGAACATGTTGCTGTAACTACTGCCCAGCAATCAGATTTCTCACTAGTTTCTTGTGATGCTGCCCATTTTACTGATGCATTTACAGTAAAAACAAAACTTGAAATACTACAGAACTGTGCCCATAGAGTAGATTTGTACCATACTGACAATATCCCATGTTTTTCCTTTCACTGGTAATGCCATCTGTACATTTATTCATCTTCTTTACAGGCTCAGTGTGACAAGCACTTGAGAGCTTAGCAGTTAAAACAACACAACACATTAAAACACCATCCAGGAGGATAAAAACCAGTGCTTACACAGGGGAACTGATTTTGACAGGTGACGTGCCACTGTTGGTGTAAAAGCTTTCATGACTTGCTATTTTGAAATTCTGCGCTGAAGCTAATGTAGTTTACATGACTGAATGTCACTGAACAAGGCTAAATCAGAAATCAATGTAAGTAATACTGTCCACCCACAAAAGAGACAGTGGACATCCAGCCCTGATGCCGTATAATCTCAATCTGTACCACAAGTGTGTGAAACCATTCAAGCACAAACCAGCTTTCTATTTGTGTGGCCGTGTGTGATGATGGTCAGAGACAGTGTAGATAAATTAGTGCATGACCACTGTGACACATTTCCCACAGCCATCCTTTTTAACATGTGATAGGCCCTGCACCTCCCCCTCTTCTCTCTCATAAATGCACATCGGCTTAACATTGCCTGGGCGGGCCGACCCTGGCGGCTCACTGTCGGCACGGCAACAAGCACTATCCTGGCTAACATCTGCTGCACGACCCGGGGCCGCTCAGAATGGGCCTTAATCCCCACACAAACATGTTGTGGGGGGAAAACATTCTTTCCTTTTGGAGACTGCAGACAAACAGCGACAAGGGGTGTTGCTAGTAACCTACAGGCAACCAGCCTCTTGGAAGGACAGGGAATGTTGTCGGTTATGTGGCCCCCAATTGAGCCATGGCCCATTATGGCTGTGCAGAGGGGTGTGACCGCCAGCATCAGCAGCGAGTTACCATCACTGGTCCAGTTGGATGGATTTGGGTTTTGGGGTTAGAGAAAGGTGGTGCGATTGGGCTAGGTGGGGTGGGTCAGCCAGCCTTGTTGTGCTAAAAAAAAAACAAAAAAAAAAAACAGTCGCATTGATAAAAAACCTGAACCACTTTCCATCCTCTCATGTGTGAGTTTCCTGCCACATGAACTGGCTGAGGATCCAGGAAACTGTTGCTGCTGCATTTTTTGTCATCCTTCAATGAGTTTTAAAAAATTGTCTGTTGCTGTAGACAGCAGAGGGAATCAGTTAGGACAGATGCAGAATGTCAACATGTGGCAGTGTGGTGCCCCCTTGTGGCTGCTGTAAAGAGAGCAGGTGCTGCAGGAGCATGAACATTTTCACACACAAAACACTATTTCCAGCAGAAGTCACTCAGGTACTCATTCCAAGAATAATTTAAATTCATAACACAAGTGAACAGCTCCTCTCCTCTTTGAACCAAGCAGAGCCATGATCCTCACATTACCATTTCTGATAAAGATCTTCAGTGGTGACACACAGAGAAAATGAAGACACAGCCCCATCAAATCAGTCCATCAACTGCTATGAAATATGTATTTGTCTTAATATGGAGTTTGATTCCATCAAACCCATTTCACAGACCATTTCCCTAAGCAAACACCTCAGGCAGGAAGATGGGAGAGAGAGCAGCACAGTTTGGTTGAGGCTCACTCAGAGGACGAAACACACCTCTGAGGATGGCTCTGTGTGTGTGTGTGTGTGTGTATTATTAGATTTAATTGAACAGTTCTGTGTCAGTGCCAAGAAGTTACTTTGGTGTGTTTGCAGAAGTGTGTGGCTCTTTCTGACTGAGGGCTTGGGTGCCTATTACCCCCCCCCCCACACACACACACACACACACCGAGAGCAAGCAAACACTTGGACAGAAACAGTCCTTCTCAAATTTCAATCACAGAGACTGAGAGACAGGTAGTAGGTACTGTACATCAGAGCACACCAGAATCATCCGTATGCCGACAGGCCTTGTTTGAAAAGCCACACGACAACAAAAACATCATCACAAACTGATCTGTACAGTTTTTCTGGAAGCAAACAATTCATGATCTCTTAGCTCAGGAAAGATCATTTCTGCTAAAAAATCTTCTCTCTATGTCAGCCTTCATGGTAATCATCATACAAATACCTTTAAAGGAAGACAAAAGTTTCCACGTGCCAGGTGATTTCTTATGATTTTAACAGCACAAACACACACAGGCCTTGGACAAAATATACATATTTTTAGGATTTTAACTGTTGCTAGCCACATCCCATATCAGAGGAAAACAGGCTTCAGGGTTCAAAACAGTGTAAAGAAGTGTGTTTAGGATCGCGGAAAGCTTTATATTCATGAACTCCAGTTACAGTCTATGTGAAAGTGATATCCAAGAACAACCATGTTTAATTCCAGGCATATACTGACACCTACTGTTTTATTACAGTTGCTGCAAATAAAAGCAAATGTCAGGACAGGGTCGTGTAGCTTCAACAGCACAGCTACTGTGTGTTACTAAAAGAAGCAACACAAATCTGCTTCACCTGGTCTAAAGCTTCATCCACTAACCTCTGACAGGACCATGACAATGCTAAGACACAGATATGCCACAGCATAACCAGGATGATGGCACAGGGATATAGGAGTTCAATATGGTTGGAGATAAGTCCTGATGGTGATGTAATTATCCACTGTCTTTGTGTTATTTATGTTCGTGTGTGCGCTCATGTGAATGCAACCTGCTATCTCACTGAGTCTCCTGGTATAGTGCAAGGTCTATTTGGTCTAGCAAGGGAGATAAGAGGGCAATACTGAGACCAGGGGGTGTGCTGGCTATCTGCCTCCCAGCTGCCAATGTAACAGGGTCACTCAGGTGCTCTCTGCAGGGTTAAGTGGCTAAGCAAAATAGGAGGAGATAAAGTAGGAGAGGACAGAAAGGGTTGAGAAGAGGGAGGTGAAATGATGAGGGAACAAAGGAGGAGTAGACAAATGACAAAGGGGTCAGCAGAGGAGAGAGAGCCGTGTGACTGTTCATGCCATCATGAACTTATAAAGACATTTACAGGTCAGAGCATGACAGCGTATGGACACGTGAGTGTGTTCACACTGTGTGTATGCATGTGTGTAGAATTTGCGTTGGTGTGACCTTTCCTATTTCCCCTCACTTCCATCGAGCTAAAGGTTTTGCCCGGTGGGTGGAACACCTACTGTACAATGCTGATGTTTTCACACTGCACACACAGCAGATCTGGTACCAGATGTCATCATGTGCGTCTGTGCTGTTTTTGGTTTTTAGAGGTTTGCCTCATTTCCTCATGTTAACCCGACTGTGGAGACTGCCAGATAAAAAAATAAACAGGAGTTCAACTTGTCAAACAAGAAGTATAGCAACAACACACATTACAACTATGCCAGACAACAGACAGATGTGAGCACCTGTTTGTCCCATACCAACGCCCATGAAAGCCACAAGCGAATGCCACCCAAAAGGGTGAAACTCTAACCGGAGCAGAGAGGAACACTGCCAGGCTGTGGCAGCTGCTTCAAACAGCTTTGAATTTGTCCATTACACACAGAACCTTAAAAATAGTCAGATAAAGCCTACAAAATTTTGACCTCATAAAGGGGTTTTCAGACAATGCATCTTCAAAGTAAATACATCTGACAACTCTGAATGTGAGTATTTAGTAGGTCAATCTGACTACACAGCCTTGCTGTCTAAAAATAGCCCATATATATTACTACAGTTTAGCCACAATAACTAATACTTAAAAGAATATGTTTCAACAACAATAACATTTGGCACAGTGTTGTAATAATGCAGACAGGCAGCCAAGCTAGAGAGCAAAGCAACCACAGTCAGCCAGGTGTCACACCTTCTTTCTCCCCCCACTCAGTCATGTGATGAGCCTGTAAGGAGGCCATGAAATATTGATGACCACACTCACCTCCCAGTGGTAGGTGAGTGTGGTGGTGAGAGGACTCTACGGGAGTCCTCTCAACTCAGAACAATGACGGTATATTTTGAATTCACTATAATTTAACCAAGAAAACAATGAACTTTCACATCTGAGAACCTACAACAATCAAAGGTTTGGTATTTCTGCTTGAAAAGGGATATACTAAATAACGTATCGCTATCAGATTGTCTTTTTTTTTAAGTCAACTAATAAATTTGCAGTTCTAACCTGAACAATAAACATTTCACTTACCCATGTCTTTGGTTGATTTGTACTGTGACATTATTAAAAGTTATCACTTTAAAAAGTTCAAAGAGTCAAGCATCTGTCAAGCCCGTGTTTGGCAGCTAAACGTCAATCACCACCAAACAGACTGGGAGGTCAACAGGTTACCATCAATGGCTTCATTAACTTACCTCGATAATCTAGATGACCAAGCTCTAAAGTCTTCCTGTGCTTTAGGGTGTTCAGCTTTTGCTTTTTAACTTACGGTCACTACAGAATTTAACACATGCTTTTCATTGTAAATATTTATAGCTATCCCTTTGTTTAATAAGGGTGACGTGATATGACAATGATGTGATTTTAGTTAGCATTACGCGTTTTCACGGAAAACGGTTATATTTAACTCATTTCGTTTCAGATGGAGAGCGTATATTAACGTTGTCGGTCGCTATCGCTCCATCTATTACACATGTTTATGTTCTAACGTTAGAAAAGTAGCTAAGCTAAATCAACCAAAGAGGAGTGCTGCACTCTGTGTGCTAACTCACTCCCTGCTGATACTGGGTACCATGCTTAGAAGCTAAGGTTGCTAAGCAACTTCTTCTTGTGTTCTATGGCGAATTGTAAACAACGTAAAGGTGCATTACCGCCACCAAGTGGAATGGAGTGGAGATAGGTCGCTGAGCACCCAGCTTCAGCAGCACTATGCTAGCCAGTTAGCTCATTAGCCGCCCAGTTTATATACCAACCAGCTGGTTCATTATATATCTGTCTTGTAGAAGGCTGTTTGTGATAGCAGTATATCCGATAATAACGTTTTCTGTAGCGGTCCACTTTATAACTTGTTCATATTTGTTTTCTCTTTTTGATATATTACTACAAAAAGCTAATTTAAAAAACTACAATTACCTGGATCCTCGGTCTGCCGCCTGACAGTTACAAGTGTCGTGATCATCTGAGGACTTTTAAATAGGAGCGACCTCGGAGTTGAGCGACAAATGCAGGGGAACAGTTGTTCGAGTTTTATTGTGAAAATGGTGAGTAACGTTAGATACAGCAAATATAGCTGTTATTCTTTTTGTCCAACAATGGTTGTAACGCACCTAAAACCGCTGGTCTGGTAGGCAGTTCCTGAAGCTGCAAAGTTCGTTAACCTAAAGTATGCAGATTGATTTTAACGGTACTCAGTCCGCGTCGCCGCACGACATAACCATGTCTAAAGGACTCATCTGATTATTTAAAAATTCAGTCAGTTATGAATATCGTATTCATATTGAACTATTATTAGTTATTAGTAAAGATGGCGATTGAGCTCTTATGTCGGGGTGTTGTAAAGTGTCATGTATGGAAGGCACAGACTCTATTTTTGAAGTGACCTCCTGCTTTAGAAAATCTTGTAGACAAGAATAGATACACAGTCCACGTGCACCGGACATTTAAACTGTCACCTTCATGTCCCCTTAGTGAAATCAATGCTAATAGTACTAACATCAGTGCTCTTTGCCTTGTGTCTTGCAGTCTGAGCCTATTAGAGTTCTGGTGACTGGAGCTGCTGGGCAGATTGCCTATTCCCTGTTGTTCAGCATTGCCAAAGGAGATGTCTTTGGCAAAGATCAGGTAAGGAAGGCCTTTGTCTTGCTCATGTAACACACTCAATTGTTTTATCTCATTAGGCAATGTAAGGGTAGTGTCACAAGGCACACAAGATTCAGATAGCCTTCTGTAAGTAGTTGTGAATGGCACAAGTTTTCAGGGCTTTTTTTTTTGTCCCTGTGGTAATTGATCAGATTGCCCTTGTTCATCCATGTCTTGGGACAAGCTAGGATTGTCCTTAATGTTGATGAAATGGATCTTAATCCATTTGGCACACATCATATTTAGTGAGACACGTGGCTTTCACACTCTACTCCAGAGATGGCAGAGTTCCTCAGTGGCATTTCATTGTACATGGGAATTATGATTAAAGTGCATTTAATTAATCTCATTGTCTTTTCATCCCCTACTATTCACCCCACCACCTTCTTCCTACTTTGCTCCTGTCAGCCAGTCATCTTGCTCCTTTTGGACATTACACCCATGTTGACAGTCTTGAATGGAGTTGTCATGGAGTTGCAGGACTGTGCCCTTCCACTTCTGAGAGGTAACATTCAACAGTGGGGCAAATGATTAACATATAAACGTAACATGACACATTGTGTTATAAATCATTGATGCACTGGCATGTAACAGTTTTCCTTAAACATCTAAACTATGGATTTAAATTGACAGCTTTCTGTTTCTGAGGCAGATGCTAAATTATGTTTAGGGGAATTGATTTAATATCAATTGTTAATATCAAAGGTTTTGCTTATTGGCACTGTTGATGGTCCACCTAATACAGTATCTCCATGGGGGTAACTGAGCATCATGCACACCTGGGCCATTTGGCCAAAACTTGTTGATGTTAGAAATGTAATAAAAAGCTTTATTCTAAAGGGCAAATATGTGTCACTGTAAGAATCGCAGGACAATTGAGATTTAACTCCTTTTCTTAAGGATAAATATGGTTTTTGGTCTCCATCAAGATTTATTTGGTATCATCACTGTAGCTGCTGTCATGAGGCGCCATTATGCACCATCTCCATTGTGACCTGGAATTTTTCTTTTGAAATGGTGCCATCCATTGCTTTGTTTGAGCAGCGGCTGTGAGAGGCCCCTGTATTAACCAATTGTTCTACAAAGACAACACTTTGTGCACTGAGATGGGCCCAGGCATACAGTACAATGTTGATCACATGTGGAATAAGTTCAAAATGCATTTCTCAAAATTGTATGCATGTATAATGATGGGAAAACATTTTAAGTTTGATTTAAAATTCTTTAAGATGGGAAGTTTCATACTGCTTCACTATACTGCTTGATTCCAGTCAAATGGCAAATTTACAACAAGTGTGCAGAATCCTGTCAGTTCAGGGGAAAGTCAGTAAAATTACAACCCCGCAGCAAAAAGTTCAAAAAGTTTAAAGAATCATCCTGAAGTTTCTTAGTAAGATGCAAATGATGACCAAAAATCTGTTAATGTGGGATAAAGCACAGTTTT